GTGAGAGTGCACGTAAGAGAGAGAGAGCTGGAGAGTTCCTGTGAGAGTGCGTGTTAGAGAGAGGGGGAGAGTTTCTGTGAGAGTGCGTGTTAGAGAGGGGGAGAGTTTGTCATTGAGAGTGCGTGTTAGAGAGAGAGAGAGAGTCTGTGAGAATGCGTGTTAGAGAGAGAGGGGGAGAGTCTGTCTGTGAGAGGGCATTTTAGAGAGAGGGAGAGTCTGTCTGTGAAAGTGCGTGTAAAAGAGAGAGAGGGTTTGTCAGTGAGAATGCGTGTTAGAGAGAGGGACAGAGTCTGTCCGTGAGAGAGCGAGTGTGTATGTGTGTTTGACAGAGAAAGAGAGAGCGCGCGGGTTTTGATTGTATCTCCTTTACCTATGAACTATGAAAATTGTCAATTTGTGAATCTCATTTCATCATTGACATTAGATCCGACATACTCATCCTATTTGTTCCACTTCATGAATGTTGTGATCTCAATACCATATCTGTAGCAGTTGTGATACATGAAAGCTACAAAACCCTTATGTTTCAATATCCGCAGAAATCTCCACTAAAAGCACAGTCAATGGTACGTGTGTTTGCATCCCTATATCATCTTACCAATGGTGTAACTGTCTTCCTCACTTGCAAGATATCCGTGTGCCTTTCTCATCTGCTGTATACATTCCTGGTAAGGCTGGATTTACACTACGTCCGCATTTTGTGACGCATGCGTTACCGAGTGCGTTTTTTCCAATACACTAGGTACGATCATCTGAGATATAAGCCAATGCGTTTTGACTCTGTGATGGCGTCAAAGATTGCTTTTAAGCTACTAATAGATGAGGAGGAGGAAGATGAAGAGATGGAGGAAGAAATCCTAGCATCTCTGTAGTTTCTGGATCTCTTATCGTACAGCATGCTGTTTTGTTCAACAAGGGATATAAATTGTTCCGTATCGACGGAAGTGCGTTGACCTCTTTTTCCTGTCATTCTGCTTGTTCTGAGAATGAAATAATTATCAAATATTTGTCATATTATTGTATGTTATATACAGACAGGCGCAGAAACACATTGTACATAATATCTCATCAGAAACACAGCTTCTCTGCCGTTGGAATCGCGTATTTTTATCGAAAGATGAGGAAATAACCTTACCTGATTGCCCACGTGTTGGGGAAATACCTTATTGGAATGACGTCATCAAGCCAGTTCATTTGCGTTGCGTCAAAAATAGGAGGCCTACCTATCTAAATCGCATCGGATCGCAACGCATGCAATATTCGCACCTAGTGTATTGTGTAAATGAAAAAAGTACTGCTTGCGTTTTTTCCGACGCAACGCATGACGCAACGCAGAGAAAATCGGACGTAGTGTAAATCCAGCCTAACTATTCAAATCATCGTGTCAATCTGCATTGACTCCAACAAGAACAGGGTAGTAGGGTAGCCGAGTGGTTAAAGTGTTCACTCGTATCGCCGAAGGCCCGGGGTCGACTCCCCACAATGGTACAATTTGCGGAGCCCATTCCTGGGGTCGTGATTTTGCTGGAATATTGCTAAAAAAGCGGCATAAAACCCAACTCACTCACTCCAACAAGAACAAATCATTCACTCTACGGCTTTACACAAATACGACTTGTCATAAATTTAACCCACGAAGTTTACCAATAAGGACGTTGTCAGCTTTTGAGCTTTAAGAATGCTGGGTTAGAATGGTGTGTGTGTGTGTGCGTGCGTGCGTGCGTGCGTGCGTGCGTGCGTGTGTTTTCAATATATATCCACCGTGCAACGAAATTCTATGGGCGTAACCCCTCCAATAAAGAAGGCCAAGACCAATTAACCTTGAATCCCCAATGTGTTATCTGAAGATCTATCTATGCGATTCCTACAACAGTTTTGGGGTTCTTGTGTTTTTTAAAATGGAATTGTGTATGGAAGAAACAAAACACCATTGGAGCAGGAAATTGATGTTATGGAAACTATTAACACAATGTACCATCGCACGCTGACGTGAACACGTGTTCATTATATCAACCGTTGGTTTTACGACAGTGAATAACTGAAATATTTCCGAATGCGCTAAAATCCTCCACTATCTTGCGGTTGCGCCGCAATATCATGTTCGCTTAGAGTTTCCTGCATCATTGTGAACTACATCACGCTCCATACGAGGCAGAGCAAAGGTCGACAGAACACTCGACACGTCGTCTCTGGCGTTCAACTCGAGTGGAAAGACAGGACCAGAACAAAACAGCAGGAAATTGTTCAGAATTTATTTCACTTTTACATTTCGCCATACATCCTCAGTTATACACGGGTCCACTGAAATGCTTAAAGCACGTTTGATTTGATGGAAACATGACTTTTTGGCGATTGTCAGCTAAGTTAATAAATACGATTCACACCAGGAAGTAAAATGTTAAAATAAACAACTGTACATAATACCGTCATAGTCAATACCGAGCACCAATATATAAATATACACAAGAGTTCATATCTGCCGGTAAAGGTCTAAGGCTAACCAATGCCAGGTAACCAATGTCTGCCTAAGATTACCCATGTCTACCTAAGGTAATTCATGACTGCCTAAGGTAACCAATGCCAGGTAACCAATGTCTGCCTAAGATTACCCATGTCTACCTAAGGTAATTCATGACTGCCTAAGGTAACCAATGCCAGGTAACCAATGTCTGCCTAAGATTACCCATGTCTACCTAAGGTAATTCATGACTGCCTAAGGTAACCAATGCCAGGTAACCAATGTCTGCCTAAGATTACCCATGTCTACCTAAGGTAATTCATGACTGCCTAAGGTAACCAATGCCAGGTAACCAATGTCTGCCTAAGATTACCCATGTCTACCTGAGGTAATTCATGACTGCCTAAGGTAACCAATGCCAGGTAACCAATGTCTGCCTAAGATTACCCATGTCTACCTAAGGTATTCAATATCAGTCCAAGATAACCCATTCATTTGTGCCTAAGGTAACCCATGCCTGACAAAGGTAAATAATGTCTGCATAAGATAACCAATGTCTACCAAAGATAACCCGCATCAGCCTATGATTGCCCATGTCTGACAAAGATAATCCATGTCTGCCTAAGACATGGCAAACATGTTAAACATAAACAAATAAATGGTACGAATTTGTTCTTCTAGAGTACAGCTCAAAAACGGCAATGCGGTTAGCGTAATTCAAATATATACGTATCCTGAAATAATTTAAACTAGACATATAAGCAAAGATTCCATGCGGAATCAGAAAGACGGAACTATGGGATACACGTCATGAAGATCAGCAAGTACTGCAACAAAGGAACACACACAATATATACATCCTTTCCAGCTGTAAGTGTTTCACAATTTAAATATTAGTGCATCACCCAAGTGACATTGCTGGCTCAATTAAAGGTATCCATCCAAACAATAAATACCGTATATATGCGTGTAAATGCGCATAATACAGGACCAATATTTATTAATATATTTACATGTTGAATACATATTGCCGCCATACAGCTGGAATATTGCTGAGTGCGCCGTTAAACAACAAACCAATAATACATATTGATACATTCGTTCATGTAGAGTGGTGAGTGGTGAGGAAAGAGTAAGAATTTTAATGAATAATTCTTTGATCGCATAAGTAATTGAGTGACATCCGACTCAGTGTGTCCTGTCTCCAAGACATATCCCAAAAGCACCGCTAACACAACCCCCTTGCCCTAAAATGCTGTTTAAGGAATTACAAGCAAGAAAAACACAATAATGATTTCATCAAACATAACATCATAACACAGTACAATAACAAAATGGTTTTGTAATCATAATATATATATGATAACAAAGTGTGTTCCAAAGTATGGTGATGTTTGAGTCTATCATTTCATACACGCTGACATGTCAAAGATAAATATCGATACATGTCAAAGATAAATATCGATACATGTCAAAGATAAACATCGATACATATCAAAGATAACTATTGATTCATCTCAAAGATAAATAATGATACATGTCAAAGATAAATATCGATACATGTCAAAAGATAAACATCGATACATGTCACAGATAAATACTGATTCATCTCAAAGATAAATATCGATACATGTCAAGGATAAATATCGATACATGTCACAGAGTAATATCGATATATAATTATACAGATAAAAATAACTACATACCAATGATGAATATTGCCACGTTTCATAGAAGAAATATATAGTACGACCAACCAATAAAGTTGTCAATGAAATGATCCAATACACCCCGTCTCCCAAAACTGGGACACAAACACCTTTCCGTTCCACGCAAGACAATGACAATATGCAAATAGCAAGTCCAGACTCAGTCGAGAGATTCCGTATTAGAAAACGAACAACGAAAAGCATTGAAATATTTTCATTTTGAGGTGTTATTCTACAATAACCACATATGTTGAATGCTCAACGGTATTTTTTATAAGATTTTTCAAACAACTTCATCCAGATGATAGAGCGACATGGCAAGAAGGAAATGGCGTTTGTTGTGAGATATTACACCCCACAAGATATTGTAGCAAAACTGTAAAACACCCGGGCCCGGTTTAACAAATCAAACTTAATTGTACATCGGTCTTAAGTCTTACTATTCCAGCAATATCACGGCAGGGGACACCAGAAAAGGACTTCACACACGGTACCCATGTGGGAAATCGAACCCGGGGTTTCGACGTGACGAGCGAACACCTACTCCATTAACCTACTCCACCCGGAATCCCGGAGTGACAGCAAAGGAGACCTTGGGACCTTCTCAAACCGGGTCCCAAAGAACGAGTATTAATTAAGTACAAGCTGAGTGAACGTATCACACAACGGTGCAAATAGGGAGGATACAAAAGCCATACAATTACAGCGATATAATGGAAATTACTGTGTTACACTGAACAGATACTACTTCAAATGTGTGTCAAACCGAACACTCTTCAACACAAATGGAGCATACTGAAAGTGTTAATTATACATCGATGGGCATGAAGCTGGCAATACAACCCAAGGCAAAAGAAAGTACCAACTTGATTAGTTGATTTGACCAAAACATTACAAACGTGATCAAAACGGGCTAAACACTGTCACCGAAACACTGTAATGTGGAAATCCAAAATATAAATAGGTTAGCTTTCAAATACATCACCACCAATGACAATTTCTTGTTTCTTTCATCTTAGCCACCATCAAACATGGGGGTATACTTGCTTTGCCTCAGTTTGTACATACGATTTCTGCCGAGACCCTGTCGTTGGTTCGTAACCAATACAAATGACAACAATGTCTAAACAATATAGATCTCCTAATCCAATACAAGTATTTCTTAGAACTGTCCATCCTGGCAATAAATAGACTCCTCAATCTCAGACTCCGTATGAGTATTCATCACGATGAGCGAATGCCCAATATCAAATTGCAGCTTTCACGAAAACAACCATGTAGATTCATGTGATAATATAAAGCAAGATATAGTACGAAGCGATCTTAGCGATAAGGTGATCGTAACTCCCATGTTTTAACATAGACTTACGTTAAGGTTGCGTTGTACAACGCACCCAGGACGATAGCATGCGACGGTGAGAGAATAATAACGCTAATTATCTGAATATGAGAAATAATATAGGAGGTTGGATCAGTCCTTTTGTGTGACAACAGAGTTTTTCAGTTGGCCTTTCTACTTTGACTTATCTTCGTGTTCTTTTGGTTGTCTCTTCGACGTGTTGTTCATGCCGTTACATCCCGCTTGAGATCCCCCTACCTCTGCTACGGCGTGGGTGGTTACTACATTTGCCGGAATACGTACTGGGTGGAGGTTGACTGAGTGACCACTCGCTGGCGAAGTGCTGTGGAGGTTGACTGACTGGCCACTTGCTGGCGAAGTACTGTGGAGGTTGACTGACTGGCCACTTGCTGGCGAAGTACTGTGGAGGTTGACTGACTGACCACTTGATGATCCTGTATGGTGAAGGAGCCCTAGAGGTGGTCCACGTGGTAAATTCCGCAGATCTCCGTTTGGGTTCATATGGTCCATTTGGTTCATGTGCATGGTTTGTGCTTGTGGAAATCGGAATCCACCGTATGCTGGACTTGGGTACAAAACAGGACTTTGATCATTGGTAGAGGGCGTGGTCACTATTGTAGTGATGGGAGACTGGACAGCAGGATTGGCAACGTGTGTATTGGCTAGACCTTTGGCCAAGTCATTTATTGACATCCCCGAAATTCGCTGGTCTGTTTGTCCATGATGTGGACAAGGGTGTGATGCAAGGGATGGAGATAGCTGACCTCCACCCCCTCGTTCCAATAGCTGGTCATGATGTAGTGTATTCGTGTAATAGTTCATCATGGGTTGTGTCGTAACAGATGGTGAATATACATGTCCTGTCTGAGGAATGGCAGAATGACCGGAACAGTTCATGCACTGATCATGCACTGTCTGTGCATTATAGTATTTGGGAACAGTGGGGTACATAGCGGATGTTACACTAGCAAGTGTTCGGTTAACGACGCCTGCACCATTTACATAACCCATGCCAGCACCAACAACATGGCCTACACCAGCACCAACAGCAGCATGACCTGCACCAGGAACAACACCATGACCTACACCAGCACCAACAGCATGCCCTACACCAGCACCAACAGCATAGCCTACACCACCACCACCAGCATGGCCTACTCCAGCACCAACAGCATAGCCTACACCACCACCACCAGCATGGCCTACACCAGCACCACCAGCATGGCCCACTCCAGCACCAACAGCTTGAACCACTCCTTTTCCGTCACCAGCACCAATCACATGGCCTTGCCATGACCCTAATTGTTGGGAATACACCATCTTGGGTGTGACCTGATCTGGAGGAAACTGAACACTTCTCTGCCCCGTCACAGACAAGCCAAAGTGAGGCGTCTCGAGATTTGCAACTTCACCGAAAGCACCTGATACACTCCCATTACCGTTCACATGTCCACCCATGTCCACAGCCTCGGATAGTCCGCCATTTAATGGCTTCACTTCAAGCAAAAATGTTTTCGAGTTCATGTCCCCAAGATCGATCCCAACAGTGAACTCGACATGTTCCAGGGTGAACCTCCCCTGGTCCACCAACTCGACTTCCTGGGTGGGTAGAACATCACTGACTCTCCCTCTGGCGTCCTTGTAGGCGATTCTCTTCTGTTTCGTTCCCTGACACGTATTCCTCAACACAAAGCTTGTCTGGTTGCCAGTACTGGTCCGGCATGTGACGCTAGCGAAAAACCGAGCCATGTATTTATCGTACAGCAACACATCAGAGGATTCGTGCCTACCAAGAGTGACGTCACATCCCACGTGTTTTGCAATGGTCCCTACTGGGAGGCGTTTGACAACAGGCTGAGGTGTTTTGGGATCATACAGTAGGTATATCTTGTGAGGGGTCTCCTCCGTCTCGTCGTTGCAAAACACTTCGTCTGTCGCCTCCTTCGTATCAGCGTCAAGATCAACCACCTCTTCCTGTGGGTCTGAAAGATGCGAGGTGAAACTGGGTTTAACGTTGGGGTTAGTGCAAGCATGTGTGTGCGTGCGTGCGTGCGTGCGTGCGTGCGTGCGTGCGTGCGTGCGTGCGTGCTTGCCTGCTTGCTTGCTTGTCTGGCTGCTGGTACTGGACATATGCCGGTTTTATTATGATTGCCCTGTATGACGTCATGCCGCAGTATAACATGGATACCTCAGACACACTGCACTGACTCCGAGCCGACCTGTATTTATCCATGTAATGCTTAGACGATGTTAAACTAGCGTCGTTTTTTAACGCTTTGGGGTCTGTGGAGCTTTTCTATGTGTGAAGCCCATTTCTGGTGTCCCCCCGACGTGATGTTGCGGGAATATTGCTAAAAGCGGCGTAAAACCAAATTCAGTCAGTCAGTCAGTGGAGCTTTTCTAGTTGCGATGAAACAATACAAAATAAATACCGACGTACCATTGTTCTCTTTGTTCCCGATTCAAACTGATCTATTACAAAGGTAATGACATACGACCCCAAACACTACTCTCACCATCCTGACCCCCCGATCCCCATACAGTCGCCCCACAAGAAACATGCATGGGGCACCATCTGAGGGGCATCACTTAACTATCTCTTTGGCAGTTCAAAATCAGAAAAGCTCCTAAGTGACAAATGATGGCTCAAAGATGTAAATAGCATCATTATGTGTTAGGCTTGACGTTGTGTTAATGTATGAACTTGGTCAGATTTGGCGACTTGTTATCGTAACCCAATGTCGTGTAAAATCACTCATGATATCGATCACCGGTTTGTCTCATCCATGCTTGATATTTTCAAGGTTGATTGAGGTGCAAACATCTGTCTAGATATGAACTCTTCTCAAATAGATACAATGCATGACAGATAATGTTTTACAAGTTAACGGATGACAAAGTACACATAGTGTACTTTGATTAAGACAATTTTCAATTTTAAATACATAATTCTCAAAATTGTGCTAGAATAGTATATTTCAAGTTGATATTCGTAAATCGTGTTCAATTTGCTTGAAATTAGCGGAGAGTTATCTTTAAACAGTACCAAAGGCAGGAAACATATGCCATGCTTAATTATTCAGTCATCTTGATTGCTATTTTTATGACTTTGTGTTCATTCAAGTACAAAGGTTGGAGGGTGCTGCGAGACTTTGATACAGCCAGCTACTCACCTAAAGGGATGTGGCGATGATCACTTGAACCCATTATGAGAGCTTGTGTGACCGTGTATCGAGGTCAAGGTCAACTGGTTCAATCTGAAACACAGGAAGTAGTTAATTCATATCAACCAACAAATGTCATGTGAGAACAATTACAAAATACATCTGCAGTACATATAGCTGTTCGGAATATTTAAACCATACATGCCCTATATAGGTTTTATTCACCAAGTATAATCTAATTAACACCGGTTGAACTGCAATCAATGATATTACATGACCCTCAGTCTTGAAAAAGTGACATACAACTATGTCTTGTTTAATACAGCTCTTTCTAATAATACATATTTGTGTTTGGTCCATGTAACTTAAATTGATTTTACTCCTATCAATAGTTGCTATTTATAACATGTATACCAGTAATAAAATACTGATGCCCCGATGACTGTTACAGGCTGTGGGTTCGAATCCCAGGCCCTCGTGTCTTTGCGAGGATTAAAGATTAAAACAATATTGCTTTTGAGATGAACCCCGACTCGAAATGCTTCACTGTATAATATGTCATAATGTATTATACTGTGAAGCCTTTCGAGTCGGGGGTCATCTCAAAACCAATATTTCTTTTAATCTTTAATTCTCGCAAAGACACGAGGGCCTGTGGTTCGAATCCCAGTTTCCCTTCCAAGTTTCCCGGCACCATACCCGTGCTCGCGGGTCTCACAAAAATGATTTTCGTTAGCATCGAGTTTTGTCTATGTAGAAAAGTAAAACACTTATTCGAAATTGGCAAAAGAGGTTCTTGAGAGGCATTTAGAAGTTGATGAATATATAAGACAAGTATATGGACGGCAACGTCTTATCTATTGAATAACACAACGTTTCTGGGTCCCTTCTTGCCCTTTCTTCAGGTGATTGAAGACAGGTGTAGAAAACATGCTATATATACCAGATTTGCAGGATGCCAGAGATATACTCACTCTGCTGTGTTCACATCTCCTTATCCTCATTGTTTGCATCAACTGGTTTTACCTTATCCCAATTATTATTTTTATAACTGCTATTTTAGCTGTTTTCATTATGTATTGATTGTTTATACATGTACATCTCTGGCTTCTGGTATATATACCATGTTTTCTACACCCGTCTTTAATCATCTGAAGAGGGGCAAACTCAATTTCTGAAGTGACCCAGAAACGTTATTCAATAAATGAGAAGTTGCCATCCATATACATAAATTGTCTTATATCATCCCAAACGGTGTAAATAAACCCAATTTATAAAGATTTAACGATGAATAAGAAACGCATTTTCCAGGCTTCCAGATTCTTCGACAACAATACATGTTCTAAATATACCACCCACGTGATATGTGTCACTTGTGTATATAGGTCACAGCGCCCTGGCGCCCTTGCCCACTCCTGTACTGCACGCGGCGATACTCGGGTTACATCACACAGTATCAAACAAAGGTCAGGCACATCTCAACAGTCAACATGCACGTTAACATAAGACAAATACGCAGGACTGCATGAATATGCATGCACATATGCATGAATTTCGCTGAAATGTCCCTCAACAATCCACAAACTCTACAAGAGCCAAATTCAGTGCCAGATGAAATTTCAGCTGTCGTGCGGATCAGGAAATCTCTCATGTTTAACATGTACACACTACTGAGACACAATGTACTGATTGTGAGTCAGTACTTGGTTTTGTCGGAAGGGCCGGACATTGTAACATAACTGTTATAGGCCCATTTGACAGAACCCTGAGCCTCCGGGAAAAGCAGTGCATTGAGTTTTCAACCTGAACAGTCAACCACAAGCTATGAAATCCCCACGCACACAACCCCAACATGTCACCAGCCACTGACTTATGTTGACCTAAGGAAGGATAGCAATCTTGTGTCGATTATACGGCGATACTGACCTGTTCTGTTGCTTCTTGAAATCACACTCTGTGTCCAACGAAATAATACCTAAAGAAATATGTGTAGCTTTCCGATGAAATGTTGAAGTATTCGCATCTGACTGTGCGGATTAAACTACACACAGAACGGCTTATTGGCTATGTACATACATAACGGCTCATGGGTTTCCTTATCCTGGATGTGTCAGACTAGCTCTGTGTTGATGCGGGGACTATCGGGAAGTCCGACTTTCTCAGAATTCTAAATATAGATCATGATATCAGCTGATGACAAACTTTGTTTATATGAAGCATGTGGCCGCATGTGTTACGGCAGGAAATACCATATGTCACATGATGAATGTATTATGAATGGGAATAAAAGACTTTGAATGTGGGAGTGGTTAATATGGCTGACCTCGATGTTGAAAACATTGTCCAATATATACATTGACAAAGATATGAGGTTGTATATAGGGGGGAGAAGGGGAGATGTTGCATAGGAGAGAAATGTTGTATAGGGGAGAGCGAGAGAGAGGTTGTAAAGAGAGCGGTTTAATATGGCGGGTGAGGGACGGTCCAAGTGGAGCGAGGGCTACGACTGACACTGCGTTACGCCTACTCCACAAAGGCAATTCAAACACAACACTGAGTAACTTAAGTAATTACCATCTCAAGGTATCAGACAAGCCGCCCACTGGGATTTAAATGCGCGGACTCTGACTCACGCAGCCTGACTCACGCTGAAGGGGTCGTTGTCGGCACAGGTACTACAGATATGTACCCCAGGTACGCTTCTGTATACAGATATGTACCCTAAACAAAGTCAAAATACAGAAACGTACCCGTACCCTAAAAGGCGGACGAGTCCATATTCCGCAATCCGAAACCGAAACCGCATGTAGTTGTTCCCGTTCAACTGATTGCGGTGGTATTCATGTGCATCGCGAAATATCCGTTACTGTGTATTCTCATTACTTACATAACGCAATCAAATGTATCTAATACAACAGCATGACAGTTCCGATCAAGAATACGACACAATGGGAATGGACCCAGCTAACACGAAAATGTTCTAAAAATATCCCCAAAACATTTCGTGAAATGTTCCAGAAACATTTTTTAAAATGTTATATTCACGTGATTTTGTATGGTTCCAGAAATGTTTTAGAAACATTTTCAAAAACGTTTAACTATAAGGTTTTTAAAATGTTTTCCTGAAATGTTTTTTCGAGATGTTTTGGAAATGTTTTAAAAAATGTTTTATTCACGTGATTTTGTATGGTTCCAGAAACGTTTCAGCAATGTTTTCTACAACATTTAGTGAATATATTCCATAAAGGTTTTCTGAAAACATTTTATAGATGTGATTTTGTATGGTTCTGGAAACGTTTTAATAACATTTCCTTTGAACATATAGTTTTAACTTTTCAAACATATAGAATAGGCCTGATAACAATTAGGTGGTGTTTTGTTTAAAACGTAAACCACTGACACAAAACGTAGAACACTAACAGTTAACAATGTACAGAATATGTGTGTGGCAAATAGTTAGACATATACATAGGGGCGTGTCTCACTTAGAAACAGCGTTAGAAAGGCATATAGATGTCTAGACTGAGTAGACTCAACCCTTTTACTATATAATAGGGTTGGGTCTATACACCTATATGTCTTTCTAACGCTCCCTATGGACATATATAGTTAATCTTTACAAGGACACCAAAACAGATAAAAGAATGGCAGACTTGTAATCAACAATTTTATTAATAATTCTGGAAACGTGTACACATTTTCAGTTTGTTTCATTATCTTCTTCTTTGCTTTTGCAGTCATCCATATTTCTGAAATATAGAAAACTTTCAATAATCTTAAGCAGGTACTTGAAATGTGATATTTACTCAAACCAAGTGACACTAACCAGGAGACTAACTCTTCTACCACGTTTGTACAGACATGTGTTTGGTGGACATGAACACACAATTGGCATGTAATGATTGATATGGTAATATCCAGAATCATGCTGAATACCAAAGATGTAGCAAAGCACAGAATATCACTTACTGGTCAGAGGCTGGGTACAAGTACAAATCAAATCTTGCAATAAAAAGCCCAAAATATATCAACTGTTTATAGACAATGGTATTTAACAGCTGCACTTACATAATTCACAGCTCCTGGATTATTTGATGTATTCCTCCATAAATCCATCATGTGTTTGTATATCCTGGAATGCTTGTCTCATATTCGCCCTTGCTGCAATGAAAATAACAATGTTCCGCATTATCACAAGTTATAAATTGAACCGTTTTCCAGAAAGCATATAAACTAGATCTAGTTAGTCTAAAGCTGAAACATACTATGACATACCAAGTTTTTGGTGGGTCAATGTGTGTATATTTAACACCATCATGTATGACGTCGGATTGGAAATACCTCTGCCCATTTACAACAAACATGGATTACTGGCGAGCGTTTCTAGCCCAGAATCCAAACTGGAATTGATTTATTACACATCTATTGTAACTACCTACATGATTCAAGCCTTACTCGCGGAACAGTTGCAGCTGCAGTACGATTTCGTTGCGAGCATTGTAACCAGATTCTTCAGTTTTCGATCACGATGTTTTCGGTTTTACCGAAACATCATTTCACCAAGAATTGTAACAACTTTATTTGGTCCAACATTTACTAAACTGAGACCACGCCATTTTCACTATGGAATACTGTACCATGAAAAATCATGAAAAACCCTAATCAATACGGTTTCAAACGATGTCACTTATATATTGGTGTCAAACCTCGACTTTGTTTATATCTCCTTCCTGCAAAAGCAATTAGATCAATATTTTTATGTAAATCATCACCCGAGATCGTTAATACCACTTCAGATGCAAATCAATTGCCTATATAACCAAATATAGCAAAAAATCTGTAAGATCTGTCGTCTGCTGGTGACAAGCAATATACCAGATATAAACAGGAAGCCACGTGATCACAACACTCACTCGCATGGCGGAGCGAAAAGTATACAAATCCCAGATGTGGAGATCAGCAACAGTTTCGCCGATATGATATCATCAACGCTATTTTTGTAGGAAACACTTGATATTTTTTGTGTGAAATAGATAAATATATCCCTTTTCACTCAAGGTTAGTAAAATATAATTACGTTTTTGTCTTACATCGTCGAAAAAACCTTGTCACCAGGATTCTCTGTTGGAAGCCTAATAACACTGAATCATGTTTCTCAAAACCCCGCTACTTTTGAGTAACACAGTATTTTAATAGAGTGAATATCAAAATGTACATAAACATGAAAATAGTGACTGTAAAATTAACTCACCGCAACCCAGGTCACATCGATGATCCAGTTCCAGTTGTTGCACCATGAGTCGAATGACAAGGTGGTAGGGTCCTGAATAAACTTCAACTAAGATGGCGGGTGCAAAATTATGACGTGAAGGGTGACGTCATTCCGACGTCATTTCCCGCGGTAACAATAAGGCATTGTGTCGCAACATTTTAAAAATGTTATCAAAACGTGTAGGTGTGATATCATTTCAAAAACCTTTTAAGAACAAGTCATAATAAAAAAACACATTTTAAAGGTGATGACAGATCCGGCTAAAACATTTCAGGAACGTTTTAAGGCACTTTAATGACAAGTCATACATTAGAACGTGGCTGAGTGAGATAATTGTTTGTGATTGCAGTTTATGTACTGTTTATGTCACACCAACGTTACAACAGAAATAGTGTTCTAAAACGTGATGACAATATTTCTTTAAACATGTTCTTGCACAACATTTCTGCAATGTTTTAAAAACATTTCAATCATATGTTATGAAATAGTTTCACCCATGTTACAGCATGACGTTTCTGAACAACATTTTGAAAACATTTCAAAAACATTTTCAGTATTTTTGATATATTCGCACATTATTTGTATGATTATGTTCTTGCATAATCTCTGCAGCGTTTTAAAAAATTTCACTAATATGTTGTGAAATAGATTCACCCATGTTATAGCATGACGTTTATGAATAACGTTTATGAATAACATTTTGAAAACATTTCAAAAACATTTTCAGTATTCTTGAGAGATTTACAAATTATTTGTATGATATGGCACGACTTTCATCATTAAGCTGCTAATATGATGAACATTTTCATCAGGCCATAATCTTGCATGATTTAAAAGTGTATTATAAATTAACAAGTCGGAGAGAGTGATATATTTACAAAATGATCCCAAAATTCACTTGCCAGTCGGGCCAGGGACTGTGGAGATGTACTGGCCCTACTGGATTTTAACTAGCCATGGGCTACCGGGCCAGTGGCTATTTCGCACACTGTTTGTATGATATGGCATAAATGTGGGCACAATGTTTTTAAAACGTAATGACAATATTTCATTAAACATGTTCTTGCATAACATTCCTGCAGCGTTTTAAAAACATCTCACCAATATGTTGTGAAATGGTTTCAAACACGTTATAGCATGACGTTTTTCGACAACATTTTGAAAACATTTCAAAAACATTTTCAGTATTTTTGAGAGATTTAGACATTATTTGTATGATATGGCATATATGTGTGCAAAATGTTTTTAAAACGTGATGACAATATTTCATTAAACATGTTCGTGCATAACATTCCTGCAGCGTTTTAAAAACATCTCACTAATATGTTGTGAATTAGTTTCAAACACGTTATAGCATGACGTTTTTGAACAACATTTTGAAAACATTTCAAAACAGATATGTTCACGGAATGACACGAGTCGGTCATTCGTTCCACTCAACACTCCAGACAGACATTCGGTCACAGAAATAGTTACCTTCTTTCAGTACGTACATACAGTACAACCAGAAATTATTGAGAATTTAAAGGTTGTAAATGTTTTAATTTTTTTCACTCATTACTCACGTATTAAATGTGAATATTAGCAGAACATAACTCCAGATTCAAAGACAGGTGAACAGTTAGTATTTTGTCAAGTCACCATGGGCAACAATGCAGGCTTCAATGCGGCGGGGCATACTACACGTCAAAGAAGTTAGAAAGTCGTGTTCCATGCTGTCCCAATATCGGACCACCTCTTCTTTCATTTCAGCAATATTTGTCACATTTTATTTATTGACACTTTCCTTCATAAGTCCCCAAACATTTTCTATTGGATTTAGGTCAGGGCTATAGCTTGGCCAATCTGTAATAATGTCATATTTTGGGTCCGAAACCAGGCCTGTGAATGCTTTGAACGATGTTTTGGGTCGTTGTCCGGCTGGAAAATCCAAAAATTTCCATAGAACACGTGAGCAGATGGAAGTAAATGTCCCTCGAGAATATCTGTGTACCGCTCACTGTTCATATTCCCTTCAAATACACAGAGGGGCGTTGCCCCTAACACAGATATGCCACCCCACACGTTAAATTTCGGACTGTACTTTGGGCGCTGATACAAAGGTTTTTCAGTTTGTTTGGTCCAGAATTTCAGTGTATTAGGAAATAGCCACACAGAACTTTCATCTGAGAAAATCACATTGTACCAGTTAAAATTTCTATGCTGTAAGCACCAGTTCAACCTTCGCTCCTTTTGTTCAGGTTTCATGATCGGTGATGGAATTCCTCGACTTTTCTGCCAACCCATTGCATGCAACTCAGTTCTAATTGTCTCCTTACAGACAGCCACAGTTCCTCTATCAATCATATCCAGCCGTAGGTTTTCTAAACACCTTCGTTTGTTTTTAGAAACAAGAATACCAAGCCGCCTCCTGTCACCGACAGTCAATTGTCTGGGCCTACCTGCGCCTCCCTGGTATTCAATGCCATATCCATTTGCAATATTCTTCAAAACACGATAAACAGTGTAGGGATGCCTGTTCTACTTGAAATCACTTTAGCTGATCTGATGTCCTTGTTATAATACTCTAAAATCAACTTCCTCTTCTCTAACTTATCCATACTGAGGATCACTGAAAATGTCGTCTGCTAGCAAGTAAACAAAGGGGGATAACTCTTCACAAAATAATGGAAAAGGATTAACGGACTTGTCTCTGTTGAATGAAACCAAGCACTTGATAGCTGGTCAAGGTTGTTTATACTAGAAATCCAATTAAACATATTCCTAAAATTCTCAATAATTTCTGGTCATACTATATCTACAAATTTTAAATGCAAATACGACCCAAAACAACGCTAGCATAATAAAATAGACAGAAGCACAAGCCTAGAACAATATCATGGAGTAATAATTTATACAAAACTTCATTATTAATTATTACCTCTACAAGTGATATATAAGCATTCAGATATTAGGAAAATATAGATACAGAATATCAGTATCAACACTATCAGAAATAGCTTAGAAAAAGACAACAGTCTAAAGTTTTTAATAAAAACTCATTTCACAGACACATTGTCATTATTATAAAAGGTACAAGTTACGACTACAGTCTAAAAGATGTTTCTAGATAAATCCTAGCCTAAGGTAATAAGGACTTGTCTCTTAGACTCACTTTTCAGTAAGATAAAAGCTATGTCTACACTGTCTAATAAATTGCCTTAATATGTTTTATAAAGTGTACATGTCATCGCCAATATTCGAATAACATTGTACATACACTTCAATTTAGGCTCATTAAGATTTTGCCAGTGTAAGCGTGCCTATTGTAATACCATAATCACCCGAGCAACAAGATAAGAACCAGTTTAATTATGATTAGCAGGATTAAGTGTCAACAAAATGAGTCCCAGCAGTTCAATTAGGATTAGCAGGATTAAGTACTCCCCTGTCTTTTCATTTCAATTATTGTTGGGTATTCTAGAGCACACCCCATGTTGTACTATCAACCAACCATAGTAATTTTGTTGTTTAAATTCTAAATAAATAGTTAGGAAATCAAAATGTTTGTCAGTAGGGTTTAGACTTTCCAACACAGGATAGCCCAGAGGGTTGTACCAACTCTTTGTGGCCACCCCATGTTATTCTGTTCTTGATAATAATCACTTGCTTGACAATAATCACTTGCTTGACAACAATCACTTGCTTGACTTGCTTGACAACGCCATCGCCTTTCACAGAATAAAGAAGTTGTATATCCATGAAATTATCATCATTCTCAATAAAATTTTAATTAGCTTCTTGTGACTTCGGACTCTTTGCTGAGCTAATTCCCAACCAGACTAAAGTTCTGTCGGAAATAGAAAAAAACGTTTTTAGGCTGTTACTCTGTATCCCTAAAATTTACACAATTACAAATAGCATATGTTGAAATAACCCACATCGGCCAAACTGGGCGTTCAGTGGGATGCGTAATAGGATATCCAGAAAAGCATTTTACTCGTAAAATCGGTCAAAACTTAGAAAAAATACGAATAGCTGCTGAAAACAATAGAGCAGACTATAGATGGCAATTAGGTCGCTCAGCCAGGTATGACGACGGACTTGGCATGAGTAAACTTCTCAGTAACGAACCTGTTTCAGGCTCACCCTACTCTACTCTGGGGACAGTGGACTGTTCCATAATACCCATAGGTGTTACCCTAATTAACCTTCTGGTTCAGTGTCTGTCAACTGACTGTCTGTCAACTGGGTGTCTGTCAATTCGGAGATAACCATCAAGACGGGTGTTGCTGACGGTAGTTGGAGTCGGGCTTGGGGATAAGGATATTAGCTGAGATAAGATAATCAGTAGAGACATTATCAATACACATGAAAAAGTATCTAAGGTATTTGAGATGACCCCTTGTGTCTGTGGGCAGCACGTGCATTGGTTATCTCCCAATTGACAAACACCCGTTTGACAGACACTGAACCAGAAGGTTAATTAGGGTAACACCTATGGGTATAATGGAACAGTCCACTGTCTAGTGAGAAGAGTAGGGTGAGCCTGAAACAGGTTCGTTACTGAGAAGTTTGATTGTGTGTAAATAGAACTGAAATGATTGAAACATATTATATAGATTCAAGAAAAGGGTTAAGTTATCCAACTTTGAAAAGCCCTCTCCCAATAATAGGATATGTACAACAGAATTTAAGTGAGAAATCGTTTTGTTTGAGAGAAATAGATATGTACATATTTGAAAACATTCCGATTTTCAGTAATTGTGAGACCTGCATTGCCATGTAAGATAAGATTAATATCAATCAGTGATCTAATTTTTAACAATACTTTCTAAAGATTGTAACAGTTTGTGTTTTTGAATAGTATACAATGGACATTCAAGGAAGTCATGAAGCCATTCTCACATCCATGGCCACATTGACATGATACGTCATTTTATTTATATTTATTCTACATAATTAAGTGTACTCACCATATATCTTATATCATATGAATAGAATTTAGGTGCACATTTTTCTTTCACATGGATATAAGATTTATATGATGCAACAGAGTCGCAATTTCTAATAGCTAAGGGAATATTATTCCACATTTTAACTGCTGATGGAATAAAAGATGATGTTGAGTACCTCAGTCTTGTACATGGTTGGCTAAAATTATTCCAGTTTTTTAACTCATAACTTGTCCGGCTGCCTACTACAGGTAGGAGCAAATCCTGAAGAAAAACTGGTGTTCTATTTAGTAGGAACTTTAATTTCTGAAATGCTCCAATCATTTTAGATGTTTTCAATATGATGCCGCTGACTCTCGTTAGACGAGAAGGTTAAACCCACAGTTTATAAAAAGCAACCGTTTTTATAATGCAGCAATCAAAACTAAAATTAAAGTCTTTTCGGTCATCTTTCAAAGTAAATTGTATAGCTCCAGTTATTTTTTGTGTTTTTATTTGGACTATTCCATGAGTAGGTAACAGGAAGTAGCTAACCTGTGCATTGAACCGTAAATGTTGTTTTAAGGCGTCTGCGAACTGCCTGTCTGCGTAATGGGAGGACACCGGGTTTGCTTTTGAGACGATACCTCCAACCTGTTTCTTTTTATAGTGATAGTGAGACTCAATGGTAGCTATATCCTTAATAGTTTCAGTATTAAAGTTGTTATTTTTGACGTCTGCAATCGTTCATTATGAAGCTAAGTCTAATGTCAAAATGGACATTCAAAAAGTGTCATTTGTTATACAGTATCATCGCACACTATTTTGCATAAAGCCATGGTCTGCTCCAAATAAATCTCTTCTGACTGAAAAAAAAACCGCATTGCTCATTTCTGCACTAATATCTCCTCAGTAAAATCCTTTTTAACGTTTCCTATCTCCCTACCACTGAGACTGTAGTTAGGCCGAACTTAGTTCAACAGTTCACACTTTCACATATTAACTACCTAAATTGTAGATATAAATGTGAAAAAAACAGGGTTTCTGTCTATTTCTGACAGTACTTTAGCAGGACATTTAGCATGTTTAGAAGTGGGTTTCACTAGAAAGCTCACTGTACCTTACACATTCGACCATAATAACAAGCTGCTACACAAGCACAGGTGGATAAAAGTTACTAGAGAAGTTCAAGGATCTTCTTAACCGTAAACTCTTTAATTCCTTTCTACCTCATTTTGTGACAAGCCTGACGGAGTTGTCTCCCCTGCACTTTATTTCTAAATGATCCAGGTTGAAATAGGATGCTGCCCATTTGTGTAGTTCTGGATGTAGTAGTTCTGGATGTTGTACTGCCTGAATACACAAAATATGAAAGACACCTAAAGTCTTGTTTTCTAAGCGTAGAGTCGGTGATCTCATTGCAGTGATGGAAAATCCTCCAAAATTGAGCAAAAAATGCAATCCATGAAATGACTTCGTAAAATGTGTTCTTCAGCATCTTTTTGCCATCAAAGTAAAATATATACTACTCAAAAGAACTTAGAGCACAAGCAGTTATAACATGATTAAAATGTCAGTTGTGCTTGTTTTTAGAAGTATATTTTACACTAATTCAAAATCCTTTCTGTCCAGATTCGATTTTTGTGGAAGTAGCAGTGGCTGAGTAGGTTAAATTGCTGACTTTGAGTGCTCACAAATAGGTGCTTGACAAAGTGAGGGTTCAAATCCCAGATGGGACTCAACCTAACAAAAGTACTAGAATCTGTGCTTTACTGAGAGAGTGTAACCCCAAATATACCATGTTATACACCAGTGGACAAGTACCAGTTCCTATTTTGCCTCAGATGCCTTAATCCCACTCAGCACACATTGCGACCATTTTACAAGTCCTCAGACAAGGTTCTCCTAGTTATGGGAATTCATTGACAAAATCATCTGCAAAAGCTGTAGTAATCTTACTGTACACATTTATTATCTTAAATTGCCTGAACCACATTTCAAGTGCATCAACATGAACTTCCTTTGAAAAAACTATGCTGTCTTTATGTAAACACATTATCATCTTCCACGTCACAAGTCTGTATCACAATCCGATACATATTTCACCTCCAGAAATCAAACAATCCTTTGATAGTTTGCAATGTAACAAAGTTCATTGTTGAAAGTAATAAATAGCAATTAACACGCAATCAGAAGTTGGACATAAAACGTCAGCTCTCTATAGAAGCCGGATGTTGCTGAACTAGGATCGTCCCCTCTGTCCCCTCTGACGTGGTGACTGGAACAAGACTGAGATTCATGCCCTCCAGTTCTGCCTCACTGGCTTCCATCGTGATGACAGTCGGGAGGTTGCCCTGAGCCCCATCAATGAGCTCGGCCTGCTGACTACTTGCACGCTGCAGTGCCTCGATCACCTCCATCGGCTGTTCGAAGTAAACCTGCTCCGTTGCCTCCATGCCCTCTTCTGCTGCTGCCTGACCTCCTCCTTCCCCTCCTCCAGCAGGAACATGGAATGTGATGGTGTGGGTTGTCACCCCCTGCTCCGTGGAGGAGGATTTGATGAGAGTCTGCACACCACCAAGGATGTGCGCCGATTGGGTGGCATTGCCTTGTGTGTGCTGTGGGTTCTGGGATATAGCACTGAGGGCCTGGTAGATCAGTGAAGCTGCTGAGACATCACCTGACACCAGTCCTTCACAGTTTGATAGCTTGGCTAGATCCTCAGCACTGATCTGGGCCTCCCCACTTGCCATTGTCTGGACCTGCATCTCCACAGCCATAGCTTCAGGACTTGGACTTTCCCCAATGACAACAGCATGGGCTTGACCAGCCACATCAGTGGTGCTCTGGACAAGCACCTGCTTGGCAGTTGGCTTTACTTCTGGGACAAGGCCATTCTTGTGGTCAAGCAGATGTTGTTGGTAACTCTGCTTGTTGACTGTTCGGAAGATACAAGTGTCACAAGCATAGATGCCTTCCTGACCTGGATGTTTGTTTTTCATGTGTGTCTTCAGGGAGATGGCCTGTATACAGGAGTAGGGACAATACTGGCATTTATACTGCTTCTGTCCTGTGTGCCGCATCTTGTGGCGACGGAGTGAGTTGTGATCGCCAGTCGCGTATGGACAAACATCACATCTGAAATTGAAACAAACAGAAACTCACAATTTTTCATGTTTAATGACATATAAATCACCTTTAAAGGTCCACAAAGAAATAACACTGAATTTTCACATTGGTGACATTATGTCCACTTGCAGCAGTGTATGAAATAAGCCAAAAATCCAGCCATATATCAGGGCTGCTAACTTCAAAATGTTACGTTACCAGCTCAAAATGGATTTAACCAGACCAAATATGGTGAATTTACTGATGTATGGAAGATAAAAATGTTTTACTAGACCATCGGGCTCGCTAGCTGTAAATTTAGACCGTCCGTCAGAAATCTAGACCAGTCTCAGGCGGTTGGAAGGGCCTTATTTCATACACTGCTTGCAGTAGCTAACAGTTACTAGCCAGCTTAATCCTTGTGCCTTATGCTCAAGATATTTCAGGATCTAATAGATATCTTCGTCCAAATATTCAGTGGATAGTTCATGTAGTCTTCATTCTTTGACAAACTAAGACACACAAGCCAGCACCGGAACAAGTCACAAATATACTCATAGGATATATAACCCTTCTATTACCCAACTCTTCCAGCTAACGGGATCGGGCATTCAGGCTCGCTGACTTGTTGCATAGATCGATGCTCATGCTGTTGACCACTGGATTGTCTGGTCCAGACTCGATTATTTACAGACTGCCACCATATAGCTGGAATATTGCTGAGTGATGCGCAAAACTAAACTCACTCGCTCTACTACCAAACTCTTCTACTACTGAACCGTTCCACTACCCAACCCTACCCAGTTCCCTGCTGCGGGTCTCAAGAGTTGGGAAGAGTCAAATTGGAGATTTTTCTACTGGACCCTGGTAAAAACTATTGGATACATTAATTAACCAATCTGATCATACATACATTTATAAAACAATCTGACCATGCACATACTGAAGTTGACTGATGCTTTCTCTTCACTCAAACATGTAACATTTAGAAGGAATCATCCTCGATAATCTCCAAGGTATACATTACGATAAATCTCCACTATAGTATACCCTGGATGCATCTACGGCTTGGCCCAATGATTTTCTTACCTCCCTTTGCCGGCTCTGCATTCTCACAGTAGCCAATCAGATATGCCACTGTTACAACCGAGCTTGCCAGTGTCAACAAAAATAGTGGTTGCAGCCGCGAAAGTTTGTTCGCAGTGAGACTCAGATTTTGGGGAAAACATACAGACAAATTGACAGGTCTGAAACCTTAAAAATATATATGTAAGAACTTCTTCTACATCTTTCAGAGTACCCCTGCAACAATATCTTATTTTGTTGCCAAGTTTAATCGGTTAGATAATTTAAAAAGCGAAAATGAGTTGTGATTGGTACGCTCAACTTCCCAGCGTAGACACCTGATTGGATAAAAAGCCAACCAAGGGAGGTAATAAAATCATCGGGCCAAGCCACAGATGCATCCAGGGTATAGTGGAGATTTATTGTAACGCATACCCTGGAGATTATCAAGGATGAGAAGGAATATGAATACCAGAAAACTTTAGTTTAGCTATGGACTTTCATTGCTCTTGTAATTAAACAATACCGTATTTGACCATGATGTCAAACCATGGTTCCTATTCTACACCCACCCTTCACACCCTTATTACATACATATATATATTATATATGATGATATATGTGATATACAATAACATATAATGATTTACATTCACATATCATTACCATAAATATTTTATAGCTCAGTGCCCACCAATCACTGTAGTTGCTTAGACAGCTTGGCCACACTGTAGCAAGTAGTGACAAATTAGGAATAGTAACTTTCAGTGATCAGCTACAATTTAAACATGGGGTGATTTTAAGGGACTTCATTCACATAGGTTTGTGACTGAGAATCAACCATTTTCTTGTTGACCTCGTACAGACAGACAGACAGACAGACTATAGTCCAGTGAGGACTTGAACCTAGAACTTAAGCATTTATCATTGTTTATGAGCCAACAATTATGTCCTACCCATGGAGCTCCTCCTATCATAATGAGCAAGCACATTCACAATAACATTACTTATTACTTACTTATAAGGTTTTATGACCACTTACTTGAAAGGTTTCTCGCCTGTGTGTGTTCGGACATGGAGCTCCAGCATGGCCTTCCTGGAAGCTGCATGTCCGCAGTAGGGACATACATATGGCTTCTCCTTACTGTGAACTGCTTGCATGTGTTTCTTCAGACACTTCCGGTTAGCAAACACCCTCTTACAGACTTCACACTGTTTGGTGCTGTACCAGCGTTCTGGCTCCTTCACCCTGTGTTCCGTATGGATGACCTGATGGTTCCGCATCTGGCTGAACTGTTTGAACCCTTTGCCACATATATCACACGTGTAGGGTCGGTTTTCACTGTGTATCTCCTTGTGGATCATCAGCTTGTGATAGGTGTCAGTCTTTGATCCACAAAGCTCACATTCAAATAAGTCACAGTCAACCTCATGTTTCTTCCACAAATGAATTCTCAAGTTCTTCCAAAGATTGAACTGTTCTTGGCATTCAATACAAGAAAAGTTAAAATCCTTATCATTGTGACACTTCACATGCATGTCTAGTGCACTTTGTGCCTTGAACTTTGCATGACAGCCAAACAGTTTGCACTTCAGAGTATAAGCCTCAGTGTATGTTCTTCTCTCCCTCTTCTTCTTCTTCCTCCTCCCGAGGAAATAATCCTCCTTCAGAGCTCTTGGAGGTCTGATCTTTCTTTTTCTTGCGACTCTCTCTGCCTCCATTGATGTCATACCCTGGCTCCCAGTCGTCGTCATCCTCATCAGGATCTTTGGCTTTAGGAGGTGCAGCTGGAATGGTCGACTTCCTCTTCCTCCCCGGCTTCTTTTTCTGTGCAACCTGAGTGCCAACACTGACCAGACCTGTTGCATCCTGCTCACCATTTTCTCCACCAGCAAGAAGAGCACTGTGAGCTGTGATCATATGTTCTCGACACTCGTCGATACTGCCAAATCCTGTGCTGCACTGGCCACAAAGAAACAGCTCCTTAGTTACAGGAGCCGATGCTTGGTTACCGTTAGCTACAGGGTATTCTGCTATCACAGAGTACTGACCGATGTTAGGATTATACACTGCTCCACTGAGGTCTAGAGTTTGTATCGCACTTGCAGGCAAGCTCACTGAGGCTTGAGAGGCAGAATTGGATGAAATAGTTAAAACCGTGCCACTGCTATCAGCAGCCTCAGGATTCAAGCCATTGGGCAAAACAACAGCTCCTTCTGAAGGTGTTTCTTCCACTATAATAAACTGTCGCCCTTGACCATTAGCCTCACTACTAATAGCCAATGCTACAGGAGTAACACCACCATCATCAACTTCTTCATCCTCAGGACCCTGTAAAGGTGCCAACACTCCTTCAGAGGAAACCTCCCCGACAACAGTCCCAGTGACTTCAGGAACACCTTCAAGTTCAGATTCTGCACTAGCAGATTCTGATGGACAAACTGGTGCATCCACTGTGGCATCATCAACTTCTGAAGCAGCCACAGGGTCCATCACAAGTGATGGATTGACAACAGACATGCCTGGAGGGCTATCTGGTTGTGTTGGAGACGATGTAATCTTCCTTGGCATGTGAATCCTCTTGACATGTTTGCCCATGTCCGATGGTGCTGTGCAGGTAAAGGTACAGAACTTGCAGCTGTAGGTGGTGACCACGTTCATGAAGTCCTCCCAGTTCATGTCCTCCTCGGACATCTTGTCACCTTCTGTGTCTTCATCCATGGTTCACAAGGAAGACAAGCTGTAAAACAATGAGAAGAGATTCATTGCAATGTATTTATCTATCTCAGAGGTTACAGCATACATTTCATTAGTAACAGGCCTTGGTGAGTGAATGACATAGTGAGAGTATTTCATAAATATCTTGCATTTTATTCTGTCAGTTTGACCTCCACAATATCACAGTTTATCCTACAGCTGACCTTGACCAGGAGAGTGAGTGAGTGAGGTTTTAAGATCCCATCTGTCTCCTGCAGCATTACTGGAGCTTGATCAGCAGACAGTGAGCCATTAGCAAAGGAAAGTGTTGTTTGCCCAAAGTACATTGCTGCAAATATTATCTTCCTGTTGACGGATACACACGAATTTCTTCACAAATCATCAGAGTATATGGCCTTTAGATGTAGTTTCACCAAAGTAAACTAATCATTGATCAAGTCAAAGAGATATAAAGCTATTTTAACAGAGGAATTTTGCTGCTTTGACAACGTTATATGTTGTAGATCTGCAATATATTCAAAGATTTTCTTGTAGACAAACATATCACCCTGAAACAAATGCAAAACAAGTGTTTGCCACTGATATGGCAATGTCCCCCGCCACTAAAGAATGGAATATCTATATTTAATACTTTTCATTTTTGGGTCACATACAAGATGCCTGAAATGACTGGTGTCTGCATAATCACCCAATGTAGGCTGTCAACATACTTGAAAACATTGGGTGCAATGTTTTATGAGATATCGCCTTTAAAAAGCGGTCAAAGTATCGTGATGACCTTGAAGATAAGGTCATGGTCACCCAAATTAACTGGTGTCTGTGTAATACCCCAATGTAAACTGTCACCAAATTTGAAGACATTGGGTACAACAGTCCATGAGATATCGCGTTAACAAGAGTTAAAAGTGTCGTGGTGACCTTGAAGATAAGGTCAAGGTCACCCAAAATCCACTGGTGTCTGCGTAATCCCCCAATGTATGTGGTCACCAAATTTGAAGACATTGGGTACAACAGTTCATGAGATATCACGCTAACAAGAGTTTGAAAAGTGGTCAAAGTGTCGTGGTGACCTTGAAAATAAGGTCAAGGTCACCCAAATCGACTGGTGTCTGCGTAATCCCCCAATGTAGGCTGTCACCAAATTTGAAGACATTGGGTACAACAGTTCATCAGATGTTGCGTTAACAAGAATCGGGACGTACGTACGGACGCAACTGAATACATAGTCCCCTGTTCCGCATTGCGGCGGGGGACAATAAAGTTATGTAAATGAAAGTCAGTCTGCAAGAGAACCCATGAGTACTAAAGGGATCCTCAAGTCTCAAGTTACTTTCACCTGCCTCCGTGGTGTAGTGGTTAGAGCGTCCACCTGGAGAGCGGAAGGTCGCGGTTTCAATCCCCGACCGCGTCATACCAAAAGACCTTAAATTATGGTACTTGTTGGTTCCTGCCTGGTGCTCGGCATTAATGGGTACAACAAGGACTGGTCGGCTCGGAGTCAGTATAATCATGATAATGTGTCTGAGTGGGGTATTCATGCTTCACTGCGGCATGGTATCTCAGTGGGCTAGCACTATAAAACCAGCTTTAGTCTGGGCTAGTACAAGCAGCCGCACATACACATACACACGCATGCACGTCGTCATATGAGCGAAATATTCTCAAGTACGATGTTAAACCCAATTTCACCTCACCTCACGTTACTTTCAAAGCTGAAAAGAGAATGCCAGGACCAACCGAGAGACCGGAATAAAAATGTTATGGTTAATCAGTTTATAAGGTTACATATTTGACGTTGAATTATATTTAACTGTTATAAGGGCCAGTAAAAAGAAAGAGGCTTTAACGTATTTAATGCTTAGTTTACATTATACGTTGTATGCTTCTCTCGAGTGTAATACGGTCTGATGTATGACTCTTTGTAGCAGTGTCACTGCTACCAAAGAGCGTTCATCAGACTGTACTACCCGAGGGAGAAGCATACAACATATTTATCTTACCACCATGTTAAATGTACACAACATCATTTTATTTTATGTTAAAGATTGCAACCGACCATATGACATGTAAACAAAATGGCGTCTGCCTCTCAACTGGATTTTTAAAATCAGCGAAGCATAGTCTGACAAGCTTAAAACTGCTATGAAAATAGTTAATTATGTTTAAGTTGAGTGTGCAAACCACTCAATGTATAAACTAGCTTAAATAAAGCAGTGAAAGTCGGTAAAATAAATCTGTACAAAGTGAACACAAAAACAGCTGATCGAACGCTTTTCGAACTCCGGGCACGGCATGCGTTATATTTTGACGTCATACCATTGTTAGCACTTGGTGGTTACAGTGGCAGAGGGTAATATTTTTTCCAGTTGTCATCCTGGGAGGGGTGACACGGAAACTTGTTAAAGCGTTATTGACCAATGAAATTAAAGTATTTTACATGAAGGTAAGATAAAATTGAATGTTTCCATGTTAAATGTTCTCTGAATCCAGTATAAACAATATAACAACAAAGCATCCAGGTTTTCACTCCAAGGGTTCTTCGTTTGGAATCAAAGACAAATCTCTTGCATGAATATCGGCTGCTCGAGCTTACATGGGGAAGAAGGGGAATTTGGGGTGAATGTTTTATTAAATACCTGCATTTTCTCTGAGATCTCAAAGAGAGACTAACATGCTAGCAGCTTGCAGAGGGACCAAGCAACAAATTCTTGATATTGAATCAAGTATTGATTGGGTGGTTGTTGGGATTGTCGTTACATGTTGCACTGACCAATATTACAGCTATATGACGGCAGTCTGTAAATAATCAAGTTTGGACCAGACAATCCAGTGGTCAACATCACGTACATCAATCTACACAATTAGGATCAGATGACATGTGTCAACCAAGTCAGCGAGACTGACCACCCAACCCCATTAGTGGCCTCTAACGACAAACATGGGTTACTGAAGACCAATTCTAATCCGGATCTTCACGGGTCGTATCAAGCTTAGACAGGGTGAGGTGAGGTGAAATTGGGTTTTATGTCGTGCTTGAGAATATTTTGCTCATATGACGACGTGCATGCGTGTGTATGTGTATGTGCGGCTGCTTGTACTAGCCCAGACTTAAGCTGGTTTTATAGTGCTAGCCCACTGAGATACCATGCCGCAGTGAACATGGTGAAGCATGAATACCCCACTCAGACACATTATACCGACTCCAACCGACCAGTCCTTGTTGTACCCATTAAGGCCGAGCGCCAGGCAGGGACCAACAAGTACCATATTTTAACGTCTTTTGGTATGATGCAGTCGGGGATTGAACCCGCGACCTTCCGCTCTCCGGGCGGACACTCTAACCACTACACCACGGAGGCGGTCTTCGTCGTATCAAGCTTAGACAGGGCTATATTGTTTGTACAGTGGCAGAGTGAGTGAGTGAGCTTATATTTAATAATGTTATTATTACTGGTAAACGTGTGCTCAACTGAAACTGTTATTTATGATATGTCCTGAAATAAAAAGGGTAATATTCTGTCATTGTTACCACTGTAAGGCGCCAGGACATGCATTAATTTTGAGTTGACCCATCACCTATTAGAAGTCTTGCCATCTAACACGATCAAGCTTGCAGAGGCAACTTGCTACTTACCAAATCTCAAATTCTAGTCATACAAAGGGTACATTTCCAGGAAACAGTCATTATTAAGTGGGGTGAGTAATCATTACAATACATACCATTAGATAATTTGACAGGGATCATTAATTTCATAAAATGGACCCGCCCTCCATTAGATGTTTGGCTTCTATTATTTGTTCAGAGCAAATGGCCCGTGACACATGGCATGTAATAAAGAAAATATACCAGTGTTTTCATTTGTGGAAATACAGGAGCCATATTTTTTTTAGATATTACCGACATAAAGCAAAGCACTTCAGGACTAGATATTAATACAGTAGATATGATGGTTGTTTTTTTGTTGTTTAACACTGCACTCAGCTATATGACAGTGGTCGGTAAATAATGGAGTCTGGAACAGACAATCCAGTGATCAAGAGCATGAGCATCAATTTACACAACTGATATCCGATGATATGTGTCAACCAAATCAGCGAGCCTGACCACTGATCCCATTAGTCACGTCTTACGATAAACATGGCTTGCTGAAAACCACTTCTAACACAGATCTTCACAGGTAACAGTGGCTAATTATTTTCATGATTATATATATGAAAATTCTTTACAACCATCAATTTTTTTACAAAAATATAATTTGAGTTTTCTTCAGATATGACAAATGATGATTTAATTCATGCAGGAAAGCAATGAAATGTTTTATTTTTGCATTATAGCATTATAACATGGCTTTACAATTACTCATCATTTGCATAATTTTCTGAGGTTTTTTTTTTCCGGTCAGCTTTTACTTTCACTGAGCCAAACACAGTTTATCAAACAGCTGAGCTGGACCGAGGGATCCTATGTTTACATGTTATAATGAGTGAATGAGCGAACAGATTGTGGAAGCTTTAACCATTAGTCTTGCCCCAGATTTCACATTGAGCAATCTCTCCTTAAAGCTTCTGTGCTTGTTTCATACACACTGGCCTTGACCTTTGATAAATTTTGTCATTATATGAATATGGTAACCTTGGTCTTAATCTTGTTTTCCCTCTTATGCATATCCAACTGACAAATCAAAGCACAGGGAAAGCGAGTGAGTGAGTATGGTTTAACACCGCTTTCAGACATATTCCTCCAATATCATGGTGGGGGGACAGTGTGTGAAATAGCCACTGGCCTGCTAGCCCGTGGCTAGTAAAAACCCAGACGGGCCAGTTAATCTCAACAGTCACTGTCCCGACTGACTCGCTGTATGGCCGCGATCTGTAAATAATCAAATCTGGACCAGACAATCCAGTGATCAATAGCATGAGCATCAATCTATGCACCTAGATCCAATTAGTCGCCTCTTACAACATGCACCCTGAGGAGTGGATTGAGCTCACAGTTAATGTAATATGGGACACTATATCACCACGTCTCACTGTCTGATTGTCAGTCCAGTTAAAGTGTTTGTTGGTATTTAGGAGTGATACACTTAAAAGGTGAAATGTATGGATGTCATCTTCTGTAATTTGAGGATTCAAAGTGTATTTTAACTTCGGGTGATGAAGGGTAAGAATATACCTTGAGATGTTGAGATTTCAAACTTCAGTATCAAACATGATCAAAGTGCTCTTGTTATGTTTTCTGATGTTAAACCATGCATAGTTTTTACTTGCTTTTGAGGACTGCAGAATAGAGATAGAAACTACTGCATCTGTGCAGTATGGTTTCTCATGGTTGGGGTTATTGTAATGCTAACACATAATATGATAAACAGCATTTTACATAACAACAGGTCTGTCTAGTGTTGCCATCAACATTTCTTTCCCTGATGATTTTCATAATCATTTAAAATTTCCTGTACAAAGTACGAAGATTTCGTGTAATGAGACAAAACATAGTTCTTGTAAAATCACCACCAGGCTATATAAGACCTTTACTGTAAGCAAGTATTATTATAGGATAATTATATAGCGCACATATCCACGCAACTATAGCACATACATGCTCATAAGTAAGTAACTAGCTACATCTTGATAACCAGTCAAAAACAAAAGGCAGCAGTTTATATTGGCACCCTGAATAGACAATATAATTACCAAACTTCTCCTTTAAATTTAGGCCATGTTATATATTTTTTTTTATTTTGTCAAGTTCCACCAGAGACCATATAATAGATGGTTCCACATGCAATGTACACTTGTTGACATTACTAATCTGGTTCTAACATCTTGGAAATAATATTGGTTGTATTTCAATGATTAGTAAAATATATTGGAGGCTATATGAGCAACTTTCAACGAATTTCGTCATAGAAATGTTTAACCGCTTACTTTGTCGACTCAATAAAACGTGAGATGCATGCATAATATTATTAAATTATATTTTTTTCTAAATACAGCTCCGCACAACACTCTTACATTACTCAAGTAGATGCATATCTTTTATAAACTACACAAATACAAAGGTTAATGGCGACTGTTGGTTGCATTTCAGTCATTTGCATTGAAACAACTGCAGCAACAAAATTGTAAACATTAGCACGTGTTTCTTCTGAACTCTCGTGCCCACAACTGCAAACGATGAACATCTATCCTCGACGCCATTTTGCTTTACACGACAACTAAGAAAAACAGCTGGTGTAAGCCGAATATAGTGAATTTGGAGACACACGATTACTTGTTTGTGGCAGTTTAGGTTTAAACCTTACCTAATTCATCGATGTTGGTGCAAATGTCTTTGTATTAATCTTCTACATGAACATTATCTGCTATAAATCAATATCGCACGAGGCTTTTCGCATGTTGGATTTGATTGGTTATGTTTGACCTGCCATCTGTTGGCAAATGGTTCATTAAAGGGGAGCAACTCCTGTAGGCGTTGGTGCAGCTGTTGAGCCAGCTTTCGCCGGACCAGCCACAGTTCACAACTAACGGGAAATGTTTCTTACACGTATTTCCATAAAATTATGCATTTGATATTGGTCAAAAGAAGTTAAAGTACACCCGATTTTTAAAAATAACTATTTGTAATCTTAAATGACATATACGTAATCCCAAATATAACACGTACGTGATAATCTCTACGCTCTCGTGTCTACGCTACAAAAATAAATTAAAAAATTTAACTAACATTTTTTCACAGTAAGAAAATCACTAGATCACATATTTACTGTCATGTTCATAATTATTTGTCGTATTGTGTTGTTGTTTATACACTAATGCGTCAATCAAAACTTCTTTTCAAAAGAGATCACAACGCATTGTCACTGACTAACTTTGGATGGGTCACAAATGGATTGAAATAATTACCCTTCCCTCATGCTTGTCGTATCATTTCAGGATGACCCTTCCTATGCAATGTAAATATAATGTTCACGAAAATCCCTCCAAACACAAAATGGAGGCACCTTTTATTATTATTTTTTAAATATGTATACTCATGCCAATAATGGTTGTCCCCCTTCAATTTTTTAATTGGAGAGGGAGTGTGGGTGTGAGGTGTGTGTGGGGTTGGGGTGGGGAGGGGGTGACAACCATTATTGGCATGAGTATATTTCAATGGAAATATAGTTGTTGTTTTTTATCGTACCACCAATTAATCACCGGTCCCCGAATGAATCTGAAGGATCCAATATATGCTTACCAGAGATATGCGTTCTTTACCCAGTTTGAGATGGTTAAGTGCCCGCTGATATCTAACTTCTCTTTACATACATTCCGTTGCAGAAGAATGTGTATTGCGTAGCTGCCAGTAATAACAATAAGGAGAATATCTATAACGCGCCATTTCCAGGCTAGATATCCCGCTCAAAGCGCACAATCTGATCATTATTACCCCGGATAACCCAAGCTGCCTGTTAGGCACTAGAAGGTTAATAGTCTCTCGAGTTTCTACTGTGTGAACAGCGGCAAGTTTGAACAAACTCACTTGCCTAAGTAGTCTGTTTCACAGTCCCTGAACCATATTATCTTCCCCAATGCTTAGCCCTCCCTGCAATGTTGAAGCCCTAAATGAAGTAAGTCTAGATTTGCTCAGGTTCCTGAATCTCTGGTCTCACTGGGGCTCCTTTTCAATTTAAATGGGTTTATTTGCTTCTATCAAAATTATATGTATTCAGGGACTAAACGTCAGTCTATTACCAAAGGTGAGACCACATGTATCACATGTGCTTCGTTGTGGGGCCCGACTGAAGGCCAAGAAACCCTCTGGAGTTAAGCTGCCCAACACGGTCACCCATCCAAGAAATCTCCGAGCCCAACGTTGCTTAACTTCAACTGACTGTGACCTGAGCGCTATGCACAAGACCACACGCCACCACAAACTGATCGAGAAAAGCTCTAAAGTCCGCTTTAAAGACCAATCTCATCATGATCTTTAATTTTCAATTATCGATAAATGTTCCTGTTATCCAGTGCCATTCTCTCATTCGATATTGTGGTCAGTTGCTGAAAGGTCCGTATAACCACATTCAATTACCTATAACACTTACATGTACCCGCGAAGAACCGGGTTAGAATAGATCTTCAGCAACCCATGCTTGTCGTAAGAGGCGACTAACGGGATTGGGTGGTCAGGCTCGCTGACTTGGCTGGCACATGTCATCGTATTCCAATAGCTTATATCGATGCTCATGCTTTTGATCACTGGATTGTCTGGTCCAGACTCGATTATTTACAGACAGCCGCCATAAAGCTGAAATATTGTGAGTGCGGCGTTAAACGATAAACCAACCATCCTAACACTTACATGGCGACTAACCTGTCGACGGCCTCCGTGGTGTAGTGGTTAGAGCGTCCACCCGGAGAGCGGAAGGTCGCGGGTTCGATCCCCAACCGAGTCACATCAAAAGACTTTAAAATATGGTACTTGTTGGTCCCTGCCTGACGCTCGGCATTAATGGGTACAACAAGGACTGGTCGGCTCGGAGACAGTATAATGTGTCTGAGTGGGGTACTCATGCTTCACTGCGGCATGGTATCTCAGTGGGCTAGCACTATGAAACCAGCTTAAGTCTGGGCTAGTACAATCAGCCGCACATACACATACACACGCATGCACGTCGTCATATGAGCAAAATATTCTCAAGCACGACGTAAAACCCAATTTCACCTCACCTCACTAACCTGTCAAGATCCCGGTTAGAATTGGTCTTAAGCAAACCCATGTGTGTCGTAAGAGGCGACTAACGGGATCGGGTGAACAGGCTCGTTGACTTGCTTGGCACATGACAATTGTCATCGTATCCCAAAGGCATAGATCGATGCTCATGGTGTCAGTCATTGGATTGTCTGGCCCAGACACTATTATTTACAGACCGTTGTCATTCAGCTGGAACATTTCTGAGTGCAGCGTTAACCAATAAACATGATACCAAACTATAATTAATATAACACAGAATTCTCAAAATCGACGGATACCTGTTTAATCAAATCGTTTCGTACACTAGATTTTTAGCCTTTTTGGTGATGTTTTCGAAACTCAATCCTTTTGATATTCGGCCTGAGGATTTTACAACAAATATTGTTCGCTGGACATACCATGTGCCAAAAGAAGTAATTGCCGTTATATCATACCACTGTTTCTTTCTCTGGTGAAACGTCTCAACTCACCTGCACTTACTGCAGATTATGCAAACTGTCATTTTCAGGTAAGGTTACACAGGCTGCCTTGCGGAGTTGCGTCCTTTATGTCTGCCAGGATTTGAAGTATCTATGAAACGTTATTTTCGGACTCAGAGATGTTTACATTCGACAAAACAAAGTAAGAAAATATCAAAAGCAGGTTGAAATGTTTAAAACATACAAATATACTTGTAAGTATCCTAAAAAACACATGGACTATGGAATATATACATAATCATAATGGCCAGGTGTACATACATTCCTTGTGAGTCATTACAATGATCTGTATAATGATATCAATTTATGTTCTTATTCCATATATATGTAGTCTGCTGTTTGCAATTTTAGTCGTTATTACGATGCATCCCGCAACTCTTTGCGGACCCTAATTTCACACAATGGTTAAACACATTCACATTAAAATTCCATTAGCGACCTTGGTGAGAAGGTCCCCATCCTTCTTTTACTGGTGGAGGAGGGTGAAGTGGATCGGGTGGCCAGACGCGTATACTTGATTGATGACGTGGTCCGTTGCTCTAGTTTGAACAACTGGTTTGCCTGGTCCAAATGAAATTATTTACAAACCACAGTGATGTACCTGGAATGTCGACCTTGAATAACTCAACATTCCCTGTCATGATGTACATCTACTGGGTGAATCCACGGGTGTATTCGGTCTCTTCCATGCTTCAAGGAATAACAACGAACATCTGCTGCCCTGTGCTTGAGGATTACGCGGATAATGCTAGTTACACAGAAACGTTTCCATTTCACACATGTCACTGGTTGCTCAAAGTCATATGGAAGTTATTACAAAGAAGGCTCTTTTGCAAGTACCAAGCCTAAGTGCAAGTCGTATCTACAAAGATCGTAATTCGCTTACTGTAACACTGATTACAGAGTCGTAGCACCAAAATCGCTCTGTTGTCCAAAGTCTTCATATTTGTACCCATACAGGAACTATTGTGGTAAGAGCCTTTCCTAATGAAATCAAAGCCACTTGTGCTACCTGCATATCTTTAAGCAGGTATGAAACAGAGTCTGAGGAAGCTGTCCCCATCCACACGTGTAAACTGTGTGAGAGTGTGGTGTCTGAGATCCAGCACATCAACAGTAGCTGTCCTGTCCTGATATACAACAAACAGCTTATCCATATAGAACAGCATCTCGCCTATATCACCATTTAGTTGATTCAGAAATGTCGCTTTCTTCCCGGATCCTGTCAAGTCAAGCCTGAATATGTTTCTTCTCACAGTATAGTATAACATGTTATTGCGTATATCTAGAGTGAGAGGTTTCATCCAAATCCCTTCAGCCAGTCGTTTGATTCTGGATCCGTCATACTTCATTTTGACGATTGAGAAAGAATAGGACACATACAGAAGACGTCTTTTCGTGTCCAGGGCGATATTCCTTGGATTGCCGTCATCCTTATACTTGCTGATCACCTTGTAATGGTGTCCAGTAGTGTTCATCATGCTGACCACTTTGGATGTCCAGTCGGACATGAACACTTTACGTCTCTTACCGTCCACTGCAAGGGAGAACACTATCTTACCCTGTTGAAGTTTGGTAAGATCTGATCCATCAAGTCCAACAGAGAATACCGCATTATGCTGGTGCCGGTTTGAACCCCAGAATATTTTCCGCGACTCTGGGTCAAAGGTTATGCCTTCGACGATTCCTTCTGTTTTTATGGTACCTCGAACACTGGTGTTTCTGAAAGCGACTCTTGTCATTTCGCCATCATCGTTCACAATCAGGAGACTGTCTTGGTTTTGGAAGCGTGGCGTATCAGTATGAATCTCAAACGAAATGTCAGCGGTGAGATTTTGAACAGGTGTTAAGCCATATTGTTCGTAAGTCTTCTTTGAAACATTTTTAGCCACCTTGTGCCGCGTCTGATCGGGTATGCGGGTATGTTCGTTGAATACAGTCGACATGTCAAAAGCAGACGACACTACAGTATCAGCAGGCGACATTACTGGTCTGGCAGAAGGCAACACTGGGTCATCCGACCGAACAGCATCACACTTACATTTCACATCCAAAGATTGCAGTGTTTGATCAAATGTTTTTAGTTCCTTTTTCAGGACTTTATTTTCCTCTTCTAAAACAATGAGTCGGGTTTGAATCTGACGAATAACGGAATTCACTTCCTCATGATCTGCCTTATCGTTGTTCTTCGCCCTTTTCC